TGCAACGTGTTGGCAAAGTTTGCAGTTTCCTTTTTTTAAGAGAGATTGTCTATAGATTGTCATTTTGGGGTTGGTCAAGTTGGTTTTTTTATTTTATTTATTTTTTTTTTGGTAGGCCAAACCTTAAAATAAAAAAAAATAAATGATAAAAAGTAAATATAAATATGAAATTAAATCTAAAAAAGGATACTTACTTTTTAGTACAACTTTTACAGCGTAGTTGATTTACATGAAGCTACATTATGTTTAAAATCCTCAGCTGTCTACGGTGAGTTCTGTCTGTAATAAACTAAATGTTGCTCAAAACACCTGAACCTCCATCTGACTCCTGATGTTTAGCCCATAATTTATGGTTTATTTAAGCGTTGACCTTTCATGCTAATTTGCTGTTTGCTTCTGCTGCTGCTTATTTAAGGCTATATGTAGTCCCTCATTTTCCCCATCCAACGCCCCACAGAACGGTTAGGGGTTAGTAGAAAAGTAGACGTTTAAAATACTGACAGGTTCTGTAGTGCATATTAACATACTGCACAGCTTTACGCAGTACTGTGTGTGGTCAATCTGTCTTGTATGGAGACATCATTGTCACGGTTATTAAGGCAAACATATAGACAATTTTTGTCTATATGGTTGCATAAGACTATAAAAACATAACAAAAAAAAACTCCTTTTATAAAAGAATCAAAAACAATGTTTTCACTAATACTGAACTTTACATGTATCTAATTAAATGTTACAAATATTTGGCAAATATACAATTTTCACCCAAACAGTTCATTCACTGTGGTCTATTAATTCTAATGTTTCATTATTTACCATCTAAATGGTTGTGTAAATCTACAGAGAAAATCTGAGGTATATTGTCAGTTTGCTGTTTAGTCACTTCAGTTTGTAAATGTCCTCATAAGTTTAACAAATACTTGCACTGGTATCTAGTAAATTAATATGTTGTAGAAATGTAATTTTAGTTATACGTTTTTTAGTAATTTAGTAATTTTCCAAAAACACTTGTCTAAGGATAAAAGTGTAATATCACTACAAAATTTAAGTTGCATCTATCCATTCCCCATTCATGAAAATCTCAAACAACATACGTCTCTCTATCCACTCTTTTGCAGTCTCCAACTGGTTATCTTCCAGGATTGGATTGGATTTAGCTCCATCTATCTTCCAATACACACTGAACAGTTTTCCGTTTCCTGCATCCACACAGCATGATGCAGCCACCAGTGCATTTCACTGTGGGCATGGTGGATTTAGAGAGCAGAGTAATGTTGAGGCCTAATCTGGCCAAAGCAACTTCTTTCCCTTGCTTGCTGTGCTCCACTTATTGTTGAGGTAAATCCCACATAGTACTTTTCCATGTTTATTCTTTTAATCTTCCTTGTCATTTTTCTATAAAGGCCAAATTTGCAAAAGGTATAATGAACATTCTCTTGCTGATGTATTCATCCAGAGGAGCAGTGTGTCTCTGCAGCTCCCCCAGAGTAACCATGGCCTTTTGTTGGATTCTGGCTAGTGCTCTCTTTGTACAATTTGTCTGTTTAGGTGGAGAGCTATGAGTTTGTGGGTTTGCTGCAATACGGTAGTCTTATTTTTAAATGATGGATTGAACTGTGCTCTGAGATCTCTAAAGTATGGGATATTATTTAATAGCCTTACCCTGCTTTTAGCTTCTCTGCAACTTCCTAATCTGTCTGGTGTGTTCTTTGGTGTTCATGGAGCTGTTTGTTTGCTTATGTTGTCTAAAAATCCTCAAAGACCCTTTCAGAACAGTTGCATTTGGGTGGAATTAAATTGACATAAGGTAACATTGCTCTGCCACCGGAGTGTAACATGACTGTAATGATTAGGAAGAGTTGCCTGATCAGCCAACATTACAGCAAAAAAGCCAGACAAAAAAAAATAAAAAAAATTTGGTAACACTTTATTTGAAGGGGGTTGAATAAGACTGTCATGACACTGTCATAAACATGACATAACACCTGTCATGCACATGAATAAGCCTTCATGAATATTTATGACTGTTGTCATAAAGCGTCATTCGGTAAATTATGACACTTTTAATACAAAGTTGACATTATTCAAAATGTCTTTATTATGACAACTTGACATTAACCAAGAAATCATTACTGATATAAATTTGTTATAAAAGTATTACTGATTGCACTTTAAAAATTAGGTAACTTTGTTATTAAAGGTAAAGTTTAAACAGTAATGATTTCTTGGTTAATGTCAAGTTGTCATAACAAAGAGATTTTGAATAATGTCAACTTTGTATTAAAAGTGTCATAATTTACCGAAAGATGCTTTATGACAACAGTCATAAATATTCATGAAGGCTTATTCATGTTCATGACAGGTGTTATGTCATGTTAATGACAGTGTCATGACAGTCTTATTCAACCCCCTTCAAATAAAGTGTTACCAAAAATTCAAATGAGTCGCACATCAGGTCCATGAAGTTATGGGAAACTAGTGAGAAATTGATATTAAAGCCCAAGTTTTTGCAGCAAGAGGAATAACGATGAGGGGCACAAAAAAGTGTTGTGCCTCCAGCCATTAAGGACTGGACTACAGGAGGCTGGTATGAGAATATTAATCCTGCAATAAACTGCAGTAATATTTTCAGTCAGCAGGAAGAGGAGTGTCACTGTGTGAAAATGTGACATAATATGAAATATTGCAAAATGAAAACTCTGAATACATTTGTGAGGCACCCAAGTGAGTGTAGTTGTCCTTTTAATAGTAAAAAATGATTCCTTTTCAATCATTTACCGCTGGATTTGATGACTAGTTTGCCAAATATTTTTGCCTTTGTTGCAAAAATGCAATGTAAGAGAATTCACAAACTGTTCAGGGTCAGTAAAAGGGATTAAGTTCAGTCTTTTACCAAGAAAGGTGAGATACTGCACCGTATATGTTTAAGTTTCTTTACTCCAGTTCAAAGAAACAAAAGCCATTTTTACCTTCCTCTTGCTTCAGCTCTGTGGAGTGATTGTGCAAAGGCAATATTAGGGATTCATTTTCTGCATTTTTCTCTACTGTGTCTCTAACCTTTTTTTTGTTTGTTTTTTTTTTTGTTTTTGCAATTCCTACAATGTTTTTATGGATGTAGTAATTGACATTAATAGTTATCAGCAAACAAATGACAAATGTTACTACTGTATGCTTGGAAAACATATAAAACAGGCAACATATGACAGATGTTTAACTCCCAGGTTGAATTCACCATTTAATATTTTGTGTGGATGCTTCATTGCATGAGAAAAATGTGCATCTGTATGGGTGAATGATTGCAGCATGTATGGCATGCAAACTGAACTGTGATGAATGCTTACTGGTTTTACTATTTTACCAGCCATCTTCAACAGAAACGTTTGCCAAAGGATAGATAGAAGTTTGAACTACTAAAGTAAATGATGCCAACAACTAATCAATACAAGAGCATAAAGTTTGCCGGTACAACATAAAATCAGTTCTGTGCTTTACAAAATCAAATATAAGTTTATTTAGTACAATAGGCTGTCCATCTAATAGTACAGTATGTTTGTTCTTATTTCAGTATTCAGTACATAAATATCCACTGTAAGTAAATGCAAATTATATAAATGAGTCAGTTTCCATCAAAATCAATACCATGGAAAATCCAGTGCAGGGGTAAAAATACTCAAAATATCAAGAACTATGTCATCAGATGACTCCACCAAGAACATACATTCATCTTTAAAATGTGGGAATATAATCAAAGTACCTTGATAACCAAATGTTAACAGTGCATACCACACAATCATAAAGTTGTATTAGGATTGCTCCTAATATCTCCTGTTCTTCTTCCCAAACAAACAAAAAACAAATTAAAGTTGATATAAGCAGTCCCTATGGTGTCAACAGGCTGAATCCTACATAATCTGGGCATACAGGTCTGATGTGTTTATAACAACATTGCAGGGAAGTTAGAATTATCTTTCCTTTTAAAGGATTCTGCTTAACTGAGTGTTTAATGTATACAAAACTTATGCAGTTAGGGGAAAATGTCAAAAAAATCTCAGTGTCCAATATGACATACATTAAATCTTTAAATCTTTTTTTTTTCTTGTACATATTTCTTGCTGTTAGTATACAGTATTTTTTGTTGCAATTCATTTCCAGCTATGAGGGACTCGTTAAATGTATTTACAAATCAAATTTACCTTAGGTGTGGAAGTAAATAAGCCTCTCCCGACTAAAAAAGTCCTACGCTGAATTAAGTTGGCAAAGAAAATTGCAATCATCACCATTTCTTAGTTTAATCAAAATATGCAATGTTTTTTTTTGTTTTTTTTAATAGTTTGATATCTAAGTGCCCCAGAAAACTTTAAAACCACACATTTGAAAGTATGTACCTTCTGCTTCATTCTTAATCACGGGTTAATACCATGCTACTAGTCTGACAATGCTAACACAATTTACAAGTAAGACATTTTGAAGGAAAACCTTTTAAAACTTGCACTGTACCACTGAGTTCTTCTCATACCACTTTTGATTCAACATTCTTGCAATTGTTGGGAGAATACAAGGTCCTTGTATAAGTTCAATAGAGAACCAACAGTACCTTTTATATTTACATTCCTTTTAAAATTATTAATCACTATTTTTTACAACGGTTTTTAAAATTCTTAGGATGTTAACAATAGATTACATAATATTTTAGGTGATCTTAAAACATGAAGGCCGACAAGCTACAAAATAGGGAGGTTGTTTTATGTTAGCGTGAACATTCATTTAAATAAAAAAAAAGATGATTAGTAGTTGTATTAAATTTGCTTTTGGAAATCTTTTCATACTATGCTTCATAACAAAAGCAAAAGACATGATGCCTACTTGTTAGATGTAAAATTTTACCATTAAATTCACACCGAATCCTCCTTATGATAATAAAGACACTCGTTGCGTTCTCTGTTTTCAGCTGTCCACAATGTTTCATTCAAATCTTGTGTTGATTTGTAACATGTTTTTGATATGCAACCTCTGTTTGGGGGTATTAACTGGTTTGTGTGCACATTTGTACTGATTTTCTGGACAGTGAACAAAGAAGCAGAAAAAAAAGGCTGCTAATACTAAAGGATGATAATTAGCAAAACTTGGTAATGAATTTCTAAATTCTACAACAGAAAGGTTTATCAGAGAACTCTATCACATAGTAACTTAGCTCCAAAATCAATTGGTGTGAAGTTTGTACTGACATGTCAGACCAAAACAAAAGGATTCACCAGCTGTTCAGAGCAAAACACTTATTTCTAAATACTGCAACAATAAAGATTTCAGTTTTTTTAAAGAAATGCACAGATTATTTTTTCATACATATTTGGAGGTGTTATTTGTTCACATTGTACGGGATGAAAAAACAATATATGCAGGCAAGACTAATAAAGTGATGCTGATGTGCTTTGTGATGCAATGTTTGCCTTCAGCTTCCAGCTCTAAGACCGATGGGATCTCTCCTACAGGATCACGTATATAACCCATCCATTTCTAACTGTGCAGAGCATGGTGGCTTCTCCTCAAAGGCATGCTGTCCATGGACACTCTTATTTGAAGTCCTCTGCAGAAAATAAATGTGGCAGAGCACATGCGGCTTTGATGAGGTTAAAGTGAGGCATATCAGTCTTAACTAAAGCAGGAGGAGAAACCAGATCAGTATGACAGCATGGAACTGATCTGTGGTGACCTCTGCCACCGCTGGTAAGATGACGATACAGAGTCCTGAACATTTAAAGCATCCTTTTAGACCGATAGTGTCTGTCACAAACAGCATGTCTTGGCTTCCTTTTTCCACAGGGTGATGACAGAATGTCAAGCTCTGTGACAGAGGCAGCGTTTCCTCATACATTCAAATCTGCTAAATTTGTGTAGCAGGTGATTCGAGGCAAAGTTGAGCAGATGTTGACAAAAACAAATCCTGTTGTCTTTTTCTCCATATCACACGGTCAGTGGGAGTTGCCATACCATAAGAGTGTTTTCTAAAGAGTCTCCACTTGTCCTAGAACCTACCCCTATTCCTTCCTTCAGTCTACGAAAACCTTTTCCTCCTGATATGACTGCAGCAGATATCACCCTGTCCCTACGCACCGCGTCCTTCTCACATGGACGTCCTCGAACCCACATTTCCGGGTCATCGCTGAGTTCGTAGATAGATCCGTCCTCCACGCTGTGCTCCAAAGACTCCAGGGACGAGTCGGAGGCCTCGTCCCCGTGAGCTGTCAGTGGCCGTCCCGGTAGTCCTGATGTGGAGCGCAGCCTGTACTGCAGCAGAACGCCCCGTCCTTTTCCTTTCTCTTCTGCTTTGTAGCAACTGGAAGGTTGCAAGGATTCCTGTGAGGAGGAGTCACTTCGGTCTTCACCTCCACAGGCAGAGTCTGGTCCGTCCCCAACAGAATCCCTCTTGAGCAGATCAGGAGACAAAGTGCTGGTGGTTGCCACAAGAAAGTCCACAGGTCCACAATGAGCATTTAGAGAGATCATTCCCTTTCCTGTGAAAATTAATGCACATTTAGGTTCCATTCATGAGAAAAAACACTGGGACCAGGTGGACGTCAATCACATGCTCAATAAGAATGTTATGCAACCTGAATAATGTGGAATAAAAAATGACTTGAACCTCACTTTCCATCATGCCATTAACAGTGTACTGAAATTATTTTTCATAATTTTGTGACTGTTGAAGCAATAACTCTACCCATAGCTTGTGGGGCATTTACATATTATTCAATAAACTCACTTGCAATAAGGCGGCTGGGAAGTGAAGGCTGTGCAAGTGGGGAAGTAACCACCTTATTCACTTGGTATGACAAAACACTGCAAAGCAGTTTTTAAATATTCTGCATTTATATATATGGTATATATATATGGTATGCATAATGATTTGTGGGTTAGCTGCCTGAAAATATTTTCACTGATTCCCACAGTCGCATAACAAAAATGTGAAGTGTGACCTCTATAATGGACAGTGCAGAGTAATTTTCCATCGAAAACAGTTTCTTCCCGTCTCTTTTGACCTCAGAAGATGATGTTCAGCCATACCTGTTATTTTGGGGATGCCCTCCAGTTTAGGAACTGGAAGAGTGATGATTAAACCTTGGGCTGTTCCCACCCATAACAACCCTTGGCAAATTAGAAGACTTGTCACCCGCATGTTCTTTTGACCTGTAATGTAGGAAACATAGACAGAAAATTGATTTTTCCTTGTCAGCTATTGTAAGAGAAAATTACAGTATGTTCTAGTAAAAATATGAGAAAAAAAATACATATTATTGCCGAGTGCTGTGGTAAATCTAATCTTTGAAGCAATTCCCAAAAACTTGGAATTATTTTTCTTGTTGCCAATCCAGATTAAATCCAACATTCTTGGAGAGACCACAGACATTGCAGACATTTTTTGTTTGAGATCTGTGCAGTTTTGTGGTTTCACACGCTGCTCTACAGGTGTTTGTGTCTGGAAACATGTGTCAAACAGAACATGACATGACTGGTAGTGTTGCTCACAGGAGCCAGCTGGTCCCTCTGTTATTCTTCCACTTCTTGCACCAGTGATATTACAAAACCCATTGTACACTGTTTTGTCTGATCATGTTGTATAAATGCCTGTCTGCTGAAAATAAACACAAATCATTTTCATGAAGATAATGAGGACATGGCAAAAGTGGTAGCATCCCTGAGGGGAAAACTTTGAATTAGGCTAGATTTCAGTTTAAAACCTTATATACAGTGGACCTCAAAAGTCTACACAACTCTTTAAAAAGGCCAGGCATTTGTGATTTAAAAAGTTACACAATAATAGATCCTTTTTCCATCTCTAGTGTGTAATGTCATATTCAGTTTAACTAAAAAAAAACAAGTCTCTTAGAATAAATTATCATTAAAAGTCTTGCAACAAGTTGCGTAAGTGTGCACACACTTAAAGACTGAACTTCCTTTTGGTAACATTTCAGCATTTAGCCTTAGTCAGAACACGTCTAGTGTCAGTTATAATAGATCTGCTTAGTCTAAAATAAAGTTCAGGTATCCTTCTTAAAATTTCCTGACATTTAGAGCATGGAGAGCCGTTACAAAGGATTGGAGGAATATTACTGTATACATGTATAACTCAGAATAAGGGTACAGAATAGTTAAATTACACAATAAAGACATCCTAATGAATTTAAAATGATGGAACAACAGTAACAGTACAATATGGATGTACAATATTAGAAAATCTTGCAGCAGCGATAACAAAAATCGCAATGACAATACCAGGTGCAATACAACTGATATGAAAAAAACATTAAAAATAATGAAAGTAAACTGATTTTCTGAATCATCCAGAAATAGAAATCCTATAATTCCATGCACTATTCATATTTTATTGAATAAAACCAATAAGTGAGATTGCATTCTCATTAGAAAGTTGTCGATATGGCAAAAAAGTACTTTAGAAATGGAACCAAACTGGTTCTTCCCTGTGGTTTAAGAAATGTATAAACTTTATACGTTCTAAAATTCTCTCGTATCCTGAACTGTTCTCAGAAGCTGATACTGATGTCCTCTGTTAACATGACAAATTGTGTAACTCAGAGATATGTTTTTCAAACTGAATTTTCTGGATTTTGTTATATAGCATGTTAAAAGGAGCGGGATCTATTTTTGCTGCGTTTGTTTGTACAGTTCTACATTAGTGCCAGCGGAGGAGAACTGCGTTCTTTTCATCCAAGAACATTCATTGTTTCCAGCTAACGCAAGGCTAAAGCAGCATTGTTAAATGTAGGTTTTATTTTTGAATCCATTCTATAATTCCACATGTTTTTGTCTTCCACTGTGGCCTAGTTATCATAAGACCACTTATCATAACATCCATGGCAACCTTAATTGAATTACACCAACACTTATTTTGACACAACCAAGAGAAAGCTCATTTGCATGTGTAGCTGTATTTACACGCTTGTTCTGTGCCATGCTTCAAATTTGATGCTTTGTACAAAAGGCTCAGTGGTGTCATTAATTAATTTATTATCATGCACGAAGATGAGTCATCCAACGAAGGAAACAGATGATGCATGTGTAAGATAAAACAGAAACCATACCATTAAATATTTAATAGTATTTAGGTTGAGTTTTGTTGGAGGGACAGAGCACAGGGGGGAAAAAAAGTCCTTTATTTTAATTCATCTCCCACCTGCTAGTATTGCTGTATAGTCTATTGGAGCTTAAGTGAGCAAGCGATCCTCATGAACACCCGCTCTAAAGGTTACAATGAAGTCTGAATATAAGTCAGGGGATGTGGGGACTATGCTTTGTCTTTGCAAGAGTGATAAAAAGGGATAATGTAAAAGCAGTTGAGATTAAAGAGCTACAGCAACCCCTCCAGCAATCGCCATCCTCCAGTGCTTGCAACAATGTACACACTGCAATATCATGAGGGAGTTGGCATTTTTCCTGAAAAGATGCTTGAAAAGATACATGTCTTTTATGTCAATCAAAATATTTTGGAATATATATATATTTTTTTCCACCCTAAGGATTGATCTATTAAAAGCATTGGTACATAAGAGATCAGCAGTTTCCTTAGCCTCTGAAAGTTCTCTCTTGTTTACTGCAGCTGGAATTCCCCATTGAGTAGAAATCACATTAGAGTAGAAAGGATTAGGGGGTATATCATTACTGCATGTCCTAGCATAAGTCAAGGAGAAACCTAGGGGAGCCGAGACCCAGTGATGAGGGAAAACTATCAAAATTTCATGTTCCGTTTCTGTGGTTGCAGAGTGTCGAGGGAGCTTCTTTTCTCCTGTGAGCTCAACAAATCACAACTTAAGTCAAAGATCCTCCTCTCTTTGTGGACCCTGTAGACATGAGCCTAGCAACTTTTTTTTTTTTTTTTTTTCCCCCTGCAACTTCCCCCAGGGCCAAACCTTAAGGCAACCACATTTCCTTACACATGCTGCATATTTTAAGGAAGAGGAGCGGAAAATGACCTTTGGGCCAGTCGTTTTTTTCTGGATGCCATGATCGTGGAAGTCTGTCCTCCTTTAAATCTCTACTCCAGCACTTAAAGGAAACACAAAACTTTGAACTAAATGAGAAGATGGTTTTCTTTGAAATACATCCCTGTTGTTGTGCTTTGTTTTTTTCAGGCAAAAATCCTCAGTGTGTTGGAGTATCGGATGAAATCCAATACGGAAGGCAAGATGTTATATTTTGTCTTTAAAAAGGTAAATGGTTTTCTCATGTGAGATGAATTTTTTTTGTTTTTGTTTTTTTTTATGAGTAAAGAACCCAAATACCGAAGGGAGTGTACCAAAACTTCAGGACTTGAGATTAAAGAGCTGGATGTATGAACAGGTGGTGATATGTTTATCATAGCTCCTCCCTCAAACAGCAAGTGAAACAGGCATCCACACTTGCTGATAAATATTTCATCCACCAGTAAGGAATGAACACTGCGAGTGTGCCATCTGAGGAATTTGAAATGGACTGACTGAAGCAGCAGTGACATGTAAAATGAAGGTGAGAGGATTTGATGGCAGATCAGATAATGAAACTGGGACAGAAATAAAGTAAAATGAAAACTGTAAAACTCTGGGGTTACTGGTACTAGTACACACACGGGAAATTTAGATGCATTATCAGAAACAAACCTCAAGAAATATTTATTTCCATTGTAATGTAATATTTGAAAAATAACTTGAAGTAACCCATGTAGCATGGTCTGTCTCAGTCAAATGTAAACTTTTCTCCAGGTCCTGTCAAGGTCTAGTCAAAACAACTTTTATTCCCAAAGGTGGCATCTCACGATCTCCAAAATATGAGAATAACATGGCCTGGCAAAGATTTTATGCTTATATAAAAAGTATTTTCTGGCTGCCTGTTGGTACAGGCAGCCAACCATTGTTTGAATGATAAAATAAAGAATTCAGAAAGCTTTTAAATACTGATATAATCCATCGGGTTTTTAATTAACTTTCATTATCAATTGTTGCTGGTAGAAAACGTAAACATGAGCTTGTCTGTTAATCAGTAGAACATCACACAGCGAGCCTGCTTCAGATTTGTTGATCAGTATTCCTTGATGTGTTTGAAATTCACTTGGATCAAATGTCTTGTCCTTTTTGTTTCTTATTGGACTGTATACTGTGTTATTCTGTGTCTATGTAAAGTTCTTGCAAGATTTTGCCCACAATACCCAACCTGTCTCTCTCCAGAAAACAAGTGGAGGTGGGCGATGGGGGCACATAAGCAGATAAAAAGCTGAAAGTCATACAGTTTACATCTGATCAACTGAATCACTTTGCTCTCTTCTGTTTTAATTTTACGACAGTTTTAATTCTGGTATTTGAAGCTGATGAAGCTGACTCTTAGTTTCATCTGAATTTTTACATTTATCGCTTAAATTAAAGTAGGTACAGAACAATACTGGAAATTATCAGAGAATAATAATCTCTTTGTTCTCTTGATACATTTTTGCATCCATATACAAACAAAAATAACCCCCCAAAAGAGGGAAAAAACCCCAACAAAATTACTAAAGTTGGTACCAAGTAAAATATTTTTAGAACAAAGCATAACATATCAATAAGAAAACTGTTCAGCAGAAACCATTGCGTAAAATTTTATGAAACAATAAACTCATTTTTTATATATATATCTGAAGCATATGAATGATGTGCGTTGTCTGTTTACCAGTGTTCTGCAGCATTGAACGTGTTGAAATGTTGATTTCCTGCAGAAGCTCCAGTGTTTCTGTATGAAAGAGACGAATGGAGGAGCCCTCTGAGAAGGCCATCCACACCCCCCCACCAGCACAGGCCATATGTGTAACACTGATCATTGGGTCTGGATGGACTTCAAATTTCTGTAAGAAAAAAAAAATGGATTAACAATTAAAGTGTAAATAATACCCCTGTGAAAGCACAAGCTCACCCCAGACAAATTTTGAAAAATTCCAACAAAGTGGGCGGAGCCAAGAGACACTGAGGGGCACAGCCAAGTGTGGGGGTGAGTGGAGGGGGTTAAGTGGGGCTGTGGTCAGGATGAAAGAATCTCTGTTGCCAACTTGACACTTCTTCATTATATTTAGCAACTCTTTGAACTCTTTGTTTTTTTCCCCAAAAAGTATCTACTAACAAATCTCGCAACTTTTTTTTATTACTGGATACGTTTATGGCGACATTGTGTGCAGGCACCAGTCGCTCTGCAGCTCTGCTGCAGCCCTGCTGTGTCCTGAGCGAGCGTGCTGCAGTGAGTCCCACAGCACAGCAGTCAGTCACACACAGCCATCCGTCCTCCAGCATAACGCCAGTAGTCTGAGCAGAGAAGACCCATTCCACTTCATGTTCACTTAGAGAATATATCACACATCACGTGCAGAGCTGAAACAGTAGTGATCAATGCTCTTCATTCTCGCAGTTCCATCTCCTGATTTGCCACCAGAGGTGCGTCTGAGTGAGATGTTTTTATGTCCAAATGCGATACTATTGGTCACGTAAAGCTTGTGACCAATAGGAAAATTCAACTGCAGTAGCCACCACTGAGATGACGGCAGGTAAATTATAGCAGAATTAAACAAATTTACATTGGCTTGTCAATATTTGCACTGAAACATTAAGAACGTACCCTTAGGAACAAATGTAGATACTTTATGTACTAAAAGAAAAGTTGATTTAGTTGATTAGTTACTGTTTAAGATGCTTGCTAAGCTCTCTTACTGATGCTGTCCCAGGATTTTGAGCAATGTTTCCTTACAAACCTCTGACACTTTTAGCTGAATTTATGTCGAGGTTAAATTACATACAAATGGCTGTATTTTCTAATAAGTGGACTTTTGAAGACAATTTTTTCCATTGGATTTCACAAAGGGTTATCACAGTAAAATAGGCTAAATACATGTGCAAGTTAGACTTTTGCAAATATTTAATTAAAAACAGAAATTCATAGCCACTTAGATTCCTGCTGTGTTGTTTCTTGATGGTTAGCATATTAAATCCTAGGGAAATATTTGATGAAAAATGAGAATAGAAAAAATGTTCAGGGGTGAGGAATATTTTTACAACCTACTCTGTACATTCACACAATAGGATATATTGATTTCTGCAGACTTGGCTAAAGAGTTTTAATATTTCAATCATTATTCTAAATCAACTATTAAAGCCCCCCATTTTTAACAGTTTAAAGCATCATTTGTTTATCGGTTGTTAATGTTGACTGATGAGGTCAGCAGAGACCCCCCAAATCACATCCATTTGTTGCCACAAACTTGCTTTTGCAAATTAGATCTAAATGTCCCTCTTAATTTCATAATTTGCAGAGTCCCAGGTCCATAGAGAATGTTTTTTTTTTGCATCATTCTTGCAGCTTCTATCTTTTAAAGAGCACAATGTAGCAAGAGTTTCAGGCACACAGTCTTAATGAGTTGTTTGAAATAAATGCAATGAGCCTTATCGTGGCAACACATGCAGCCCCTGCGGTCTTTGGCGTGACAAGGGGTGGTTTGGGCATAATCTTGGAACTCATATCACCGTCAATACACAAGTTGCATAAAACTGGGCAATTACTCAGCTTTGGGGTGGGGGTGACTGAGTGAGGATGAGAATTTACCACCCACCCCAACCCAAGTGCACTGGCAGACAGGGATTACCACCTGTTTGTGCGCCCTTGCCAGTAGGCCTTCCTTTGTTTGAAATTAGGGAAAAGAAGCCTTTGATGTTTTTTTCTCTTTTAATTGATGCTCCAGCAGCGGGCGCCTTATATAGCTGGGAAACTATATATAATACATCTCAGTGTTTTTGCAGTGATCAAAAAGTTCAATATTTATAATTAGAAGGTACATTTTGCCCCCAGTAACCCACTTTTAATCAAACAGGACGAGCTTGCACAAAAACGGTGTTCAGAGTTTCATCTTCCTATACGTTGCATCGCATAATTATCACATTAATCATTATCAAGCATGGTGGAGCTAACAGCGACTTTCAGCTCATCAATTCCTGACATACTGTGGTTGCAGATTGCCATCTTGCCAGCCATATGTCTGAAACCACCTGGAGGGCGTTCTGTTAAGTGAAGAACAGTACATCACAGGAGACCGAAGGAGTCCAGAAAAGCAAATCACATAAGACGCTAGCATGTCTTTAATATTTCTAGTAAAGTAATATATGCATTTAATCTAGTTTTACACTGAGTAGCTGAATTCCCTAAACATTTTATGATATATAGTCACTGTGGACCAAATGTGCTGAATGCCTGCTGAGCTGTGTCATATACAGGGATAAGTACAAGTCACAATGTTGCCCCCAACCAACAATCTGGTATTAGTCTACTGAATCCAGCAAGATGAGGTAGTCAGTGAAGCTTGACAGTAGTAATGTGCCCTTTTCCACTCAGCTCCGCAGTGTCACACTAACGGCAACATCCCTCCTATAGTCCACCTCCAGCGGCGGGAAATAACAGCAGAGGCAGAGTCGCAAACACTACAGCTGGTCTGAACAGCTCATTAGTCCTTCATTACACCAGGCGACAAGGTGTCTTTGTCCTTTGCCATGAGCTGAATCCACATCTCCACTGTGAGGGCGAGGGAGTGGACAGGGCAGCTGAGTGATAGGTTAAACCAAGAGGAGCAGAAAATAATATGGTGAAGAAAAGAACAAGGGGATGCCAGTAAGTACTGATCAGAGCCTGCAAGCACCATGCATGTCCTTTTACGTTAAGGCCTGGTAGAATCTGAGTGAAAGAGACCTCTGCAGTGGCCTTTAACACAAAGATCAGGCTATAAAAAGCAAAAGCGTCAGTGCTAACAGCAGATTCAATCAACCCCTACTGTCTGACTAAATTGTAGATAAAATTTGACTTGATTGGTTAAGATTTTCTTAATTTTCTCTCCAATTAAGCTGTTTCAAAATCCGATTGTCATCCTCAATTCCTGCTGCTATTTAGCCCTTTTATATGCTCTGATTAAATGTAAATTGGGTTTATAGTTTTTTTGTTTTTGTTTGTTTGTTTGTTTGTTTTTTGCTATTTCACTTACAGTTTAAGGCTTCTGTTAGGAGTAAAATGGTTTTCAAAAAACTATTCAAAACTAAGACAGTTTTATAAGACGTGGACCTTGGTAGAGAGAGCGGTTCAGAGCATGGCTGTAATAGGTTTTGCAAAAAGAAACAAAAATAATGAGCCGATGCCACAGACAGCTCAGCAACAAAATAGCCCACTGAGACATCATTTTAATATCTCTCTGCCACTTAACTTTCAGCGCTCACCTCTGTTCTCTAAGAAATATGCAGAAGGGTATAAATCCAGTCACTTTGATTGTGAAAAGAAAGCTGCATGGATTCAGATTTTGTAGTCTCCAAAGGATAATACTGGCCCACAATGGGGATAAGAAAGAGTTTAAGACATTTAAAAATATCATAAATGTTCTTACAGAGAAATATACAGAATTTTGAAGACAATTTTCATTCACTTATTCTTTTGTAAAGCTTTGGCCCACCAATGTGGATTTTAGCTGAAAGCAAATTTGCTTTAGTTATAACATAAGTAGGGTTGTCATGATGCAAACACTTCAAAAACGACAAAGGTACTAAGACATAAATATTTTATACTGCAGAAACATGGTTCTTTTAAATTAAGAGCAAAAAACATGTTTAATTACATGTTATGTAATTATGGAATAATTCAGCCCTCATTTAGAAAGATATACAATTTAAAATAGTCACTTCCAGGTTTGGTAAAATGGTAAACAAGACAACACTTCATATAAGTGGTAATATTCTTTAAGGAAGTATGTACCTTTGATTCAGTAATTATTTTATTATGATTGTGCAACACTTAGACTTATCCCATATTTTCACATAATATGGAATATTATGTGAAAATATAATATCCCATATTATACTGTATCCAATATCATTGAATACAGTGACAGATGTGCTGAGTTTCTATGACTTGTCTTTAAAGCCAAGTATTCAAAGATCAAATTCTGTCCATAGTGAAATATATTGAAATGTTGATTAAATTACCAGGAAGCTTTAAATTATTTTGGATGACCTGATGAATGACCAAGGCTATTTGCTGACCCTTCTGTCGCCAATTAACATGTTGGCTTTTTCTCCATTAAAGTAAAAAAAATTCCCAGATTTGGTCTGAAAGGACGAACTGGCTTATAAACCAGCTGCTTTAGCCGCAGGAACTTAATTTATTTCTGTATAGTATGGTATAATTTGGTTATCCTGTACATAATTTCCATTTACCCCAGTAGTGGGTAGACAATGTAATGAAATAATACAAAGATGAAGGCTAAAACAAATAGTGCTATCAAACTTCCTTAGGGTTCTGCTGGTGCCAATTTAGAAACCACAGGAAACGGTCTTGTTCTTCCAGAAAGAGTAAAGGTTATTTTTTAAATAACAACAGATTTAGAATTCAAGACTTGTAACAAGATGCTTGACTGCAGGATGAGTCGCAGAAAATGAAACAGGGCAGCGATGTCCAGTAAAGTCATAGAAAAACAATTTAACAGTGCAGCAAATTTTACAAAACAATGACAATCCATGTAGAAAAGCAACACAACCAAGAACGTGACTGTTCAAACCTGTCCTGTCATCTTGGAGGAGCAAACATAATTCTTGTTCAGGTTCTTTACATGCACAGCGGCTCCTGTGCAGCTCGTACCCTTGGGTCCACATTAGTGAGTAAGACAAGGTTAGAAAAGAGGTAACTAGAGCTGACCTGCGAAGCTCACTGGGAGACACCCTGAACCAGAACTGTGCTTTCATTGCGTGGCCAATCAGCTGCTTAAGCATGAGTCTCTAGAGGACAGGGTAAGGGAAGAAGAGGTGATGAACAAAAGGAGACATTTCAAGCTCAGCTCTTTCCTGATTATGTGGATCTTGGAGCTGACTTGGTAAGCAGCTGTCCTTTTAGTGAAAGTCCAGATTTGTCAACTGCTTCTCCTCATTTGCTGCAGCTTACAGCCATGATAATGAGTAATTACACCATGTTAGAAAACGAAGGTTTGGAAATCAGGACGTATTAAAAAAAAAGCCTTGGCTGGTGCTAAAATTAAGCAATTGCAACCTCAGATAAGCAAACAACATATGGTGTATTTCACTATGTCATTAATTATATAACTAGGACTTTGTCGGGAAAACAGAGTAGGGATTACATTGTAATGCACTGAAGGACAGCCGTTTACAAGCAACAATCTAAATTAATGGCCTTCTGTGAGTTGGTATTAGTCCCCATTACGTGTTTAGGAATTGTGTCCAATACACTCCAATGAAACACTTTGACTCCTTTCTTCTGTAGACCAATCTTAGTCCCCATTTTAGCTGTCAGTGTTGGAGTGCAAGGGCTCCAGATGCTAAATTCAGCGTTATGAATTGTTGCTCTTTGACAAACCTTTTTTAAAAGTGTAGGAGGGGAGGGAGGGGGGTAATGTTTCTTAAAATGGTACTGCAATGATATTCAGTATTTAAATGCTATCTGAGACTTAGGGTAGGGAATCATTTTTTTGCAATTTCTCTGAGTAGCAAGATCGCATAAAGTGGTGCTTCAAACTTTTGGACGAATTGCCTTGAATACCTTTTGTATTGCCTTGAACATTTTCCATTTGTTAAAAATTCTTCTCGTGATGGAAGAATGGACAGTTGATTGGTTGGAAAAACGCCTTGTAAACCTTTCTGGTTATTTTGGACAATAACAATACTTTTATCATCTTGCTGATGCCAAATCCACATAACATCTTGTCAGTGCTAGTGATGCATACGGAGGTTTGTGGGCTCGGGGAGTTCAGTTTCACAGAGATGAATCGGCGACTGGACAGAGACTAGCTGAAGGGAGCCGAGGCTCACTTAACTTCATTTTCATTACATGTTGAAATGAAGACTATATCTGATCTAGTTTATATTCTCCAAAAAGTGAAGCTACTGCTTTTTTTTTTTTTTTTGCTTGTTTGATAAATGTTATCAATCCTACCAGTAAAATGTGAACTTATTCAGCCTGCATGTATTTACTACATATGCTTTTTTATTCTCCAACATAAAACTCAATCTATTTATTCAACTATGTCCAATCTCCTTTGACATATAATTAAATGGTAATGGGTTTCAGTTTGGTCTCTCAGTATCATGTTTACCTTGCCCAGAATAATTTGGTTTTATGTCATTCATTATCATAGACCACAGCCAGAAAACTCGCACTGCTCTACACTCTTACTGACAAATCAAAAAGAGAGAACACCTCGGAGGATAACTGCACAAAAAATGGAAATAATGACAGACACAACCGCCAGTTTGACTTTTAGAAAATGATAGTGCAAGGCACTGTGTCATCACTCACAGTTCCTGCAGTATAGCTTATTTGTGTAGGGCTTCTACACATTTTTTATGAATCTACAAGAGGGCCTGCCTCGTTGTCCATGTAGTGGCTCCAGTGGCAGTAAATCTTGATGACATTGCAGATTAGATTGCTGGCTCTCAAAGGTTGTATTCATAAATCTTCCCTGAAATGAAAGAATATTACCTCAAATGTCGCACGAAAAAATATATGTAAAGATAACATAATGTCTTGTTGGTTCTCTAAAGCTTTAGCGACGTTTTAGTTTAAAAAAATTACAGAATTCTGTTGACAGAATATGTTAGGATTAATAGAAGAATCCGTTTCCTTTATTTTTGTTTTCAAAGTAGTATTTCTGAATTGTTTTTACTTTTAAGGATGTTTTTTTTTTTACAGTTTAGCAATAAATTGAGTTTTTAATAAATAGTGTACTTTTTGGGAAATTTAATTTCAGAGCAGGTAAAATGCCTTTGCCAGCAGGGTTTTAAAAGTGATGGTTACCTTGAAAAAGCACCTTGACTTCTGATTACTCCGTAAAAATGTATCTTGGTTACTTTACTGATTACTTGATTTTATAAGTAATTAACTTGGATTACAAGTTACTTTATTACTTACATTCAGCAGCTGTAAACAGCCTCAACATAATGACAACTTGGGTGAGTAAATCTTGTTTAAGGGCAGCATTTCAGAAATAATGTCCGAGTGCATCTGGAGAAATTGAACTTCATTTTCTAAGAGATTTAGAAAATAAAACTTAATTTGTTACTGATTTAAAAAAAAAAATAAGAAGGGCTAAGAGTGGGGATGGAGTTTTTTTTCTTTTAATTAAGTTCTTTAAGATCTCTAGGTATTGTGATGCATTTCTGTATTTATTCTTCTTTTGCGATTAGGTCACTGTTGAAAAAGAGATTTTGTTATGAAAATTTTAACCCATAAACAAGAGTTTCAGGATACTACAGGGGTTTACCTGAGTCGTAAGGGTAGATATTTGTATGACTGTGACAGAGTTCCCACAGCTTGCCCACACAGATTCATCCAGCACCAGCAAAGTCCGAATTGGCTCCGCTCCCAGGCTAACGCATATTGGAGATTCAGGGTCCCAGAGGTCATCTGCAATAACACATAAACCTTTTTATCTCAAAGATTAACAGAAAAGTCGAAAAATCATAGGCTTTCTTTTTTTTTTCCACGGTAGCTAATAAACTACAAAAACAGGCCCTCAGCATTTACTCTAACAGTGTCATATGGAGTGAGGCAACTGTGGTCAACTTAAACCACCAGTTTCAATGAGCAAACTTGTCAATGGAAAACAGCGAGAACATCAGTGAAGAGGGTTCAGTAAAGGTCTTTTTTTCTGTTTCTGTGAAACAAGTGATGTGACAGAAAGTTTGCAGTGGGTTGAATAGAACTATGGTTTTCTATTTGAATATTAAAAAAAAGCGACACTGTAAATCAGCACACACTGTGCAGAACAACATTTGCTTCTTCACCACCCACATACTAATAAGTTTCGAGTAAACTTTAATGCACTCTCCCACTGTGTTATCACCAGCTTCTGTCCCTGTTTGAAAGGAACTCCAGTTCTCCATGTCTCATCAGATCATTTTGCCTTATTGGTGTGAAAGTGAAGCAGACCTTTTTCTTGGAGTCCTAATCACAAGGCCAGACCTTGCAGGTAACACAAAAGCCCATTTTAAAGGGGATTACACAAGCCTTTCCATTTGCTGTGCCTTAATGAAGGGAAATTAAAGAAGGGGGTGCATTCAGCCATTTAATTAACATTTTCAGTTGTTTATTTTTCCCTTTCATAGAAGAATAGCTTTACAATACCTTCTGACTTCCACAGGTTAATTGTTTGGCATGTTCTAAAGGTCATTTTCCCACCTTTTCAAAATTCACACTTGCAAATGCGCCTCTGATCCTCTGTTAACCGGAGCCTTGACAACATTTCTCCATCTTTAAGGCCACATTTACACAGTGTCGATTTTCGGTGAAACTGTAGCATTCTTGTTGCGAGTCAGATGGGCACTTGGATGTCTCCAGTGATCGGAATCTCTGACATTGCCACTTTTTGAAACCAGATCTCAGAGTGGAACTTTTTGTTAAAAACCCCCCATGGAGGTGTGAAGTACTACGCAGATGTGAAAGCAAACATGCGCGGGACGGTAGGCTGCAGGGTTTGTTCTACGACAGATAACAACAAAAACAACGGTGGATTGCACTGTGCTGCGTGTGCCACTCACCCTGCTCAGCTCAACATCACTTCTGATACAGAATATGTATGCGTCACATGAGCACTTGGTTTATCGGAGACGAGTTGCTGCTTTCTAAATGGGGGCGAAGCAAGTAAGGTAAAAGCCAAAGGTCAAAAGCACATGTGCAGCTTGGCAAGATGACAACAGCAGATTCAAGGTGTCTTTGCAGTCTCATCTAAATGTGGAACATTTGCCCAGTAAACATCCAATAATAATTGTGTTGATGTTCCTAAAGACAGGGAATGTGCTTGTCACGTAGCATCAAATTTCTCACCAGAACGCTAGCCTAATGTTTGATGGACATGTCTTGAGAAACTAAAGCTAAAGCAAACCTAAAACAAAGCAGTAATGTTTTAGGGGTTTTTTTGGTGCAAGTGTCAGGTTTCTGGTTGTTGCAGACGGTATCATGCTTGACAAGGGCATGAATCTTTAACAGGTGTGCCAAATCCACAAACATTCTCTGACACCCTCGGGAGCTCTTCTCCTGTCCTTTATTGTTATATATATCTATAAAGCATGAATAGTAATATTTAATCAGCATGCAGCAGCTTGGTGTAATTAATCATTCTCTCAGCTTGGGAGAAGTGGGGAGCGCAGTAGGCAGACAGGCACGCTGACATACTTTGGCCAGGTAAAAGGAACCCACTGATAGAGCTATTGTGCTCCTGCTGGCTCTGAAGACTGCAAACCTCTGCTGAGATGGTGTTAAGCCCCATTGGCCTTGTGCAACGCCTGACTAAACATGGCATGCCATCTACCACATGGTGAAGTGTTACGTTCATATTTGCAGTGGGTGTGAAAAATCCCTGTGAAGGGAAGGGGAAAAACATTATGACAAAAAGTAATTTAAAGGCAACCGTTTTGGCAGCTCAAAAATAATGAATGCATTCTGTGATTTTATTTCCCAAACGGCAATATTTATAGGGTAAGTAAATAACAAGTTTTCCTTGAATATAATAGTTTTTGTGATAGCTATGTGAAGTGTGAAAACTGTTACAGTAATTATTTCAAGGTTTGAAGAAGATAGCTTATAAATGACCCAATCGTGTCTTTAAAACACAAGACACCCAAATCATCTGATGTTTCAATATGAATAAATAAACTAGCATAACAAAAAAATATAAATTAACTTAAAAAAATATTGCTTTCTCTTTGTATGCTTTTCCAGGGTTGTAAATGTAAGCATTAAAATAAGTTAATATAATCATTCCAACATGCCTTTGTTCCTTAAGCACTGTGTTTTTATTAAATTGTTTTGATTTTTTTTTTTTTTAGCATAACTAAAAAATGTTTTTCCCTTCAGAGGGACTGCACCTAAGATATTACCCATAACATACAACAAAAAAATAAATAAAAATAAAACCATTAGTACAGACAGAAAGGGACTAACCAAGAACCTCACCATTGTTATTTCTTCCATAAACCATCACTGTACCATTCCGCAGACCCGCAAACAGGAAGCGAGCGGAGTGCTTCAGGCACAGCACAGGGCAGCCCTCTGGGTTGTGGAGGGTCAATAGGCATTGTGCTGCGGTGTCCGCGCTCCCATAGACCAGAATGCTGAAAGCACAACAGTAGCACGAGCAAACATGATAAATGAGTGTCATTTGAAATGACAGAGTAGCTCGTTTTCATGCAGTTTGATTTAACAGTGCACGAAGCATTTCACATGTGGAACCACTCTGTCTTTCGCTTGCTTTAAATGCCACCTGAACTTTGCAGGATCTTATTCTCCTCACGATGAAAACTGCATATTGCTGTTTATCTCTGGCAAAATAAAAAAAAAAAAAAATCTGCAGCATTGGAGCTGACAGTCTTATGAGACTTGAAATTGTTAATTTGTTTTTCTTTTTAATTCTTTTTTTGCATAGCTAGATTAGTTCTTATTTTTTCCCTAGATAGGTTACATTAACTGAAGGATAATGAGTCAGAACAAGTAAACTGCCCTGTTCTGTTTTCAGTCACATCTGTGACTAAAAGAACCCCACAATCCCTACTGTTAATTCAGGATACATACAAAGGTAACAATGCATTATCTGAGTGTGCTTTCAGTGAGAAAATCAAAAATCTATTCACTGTTGCTGTGCCTGGAGACTGAGATTAAATCTATCCTGTAAACCTTTTGATCTCCTCAGTGAGGGCATCAAAAGCTTTATTGGATTTAAAAATGAAACTGATCTTTGCACAAGTGGCAGTATTGATACTTTGCAGGAATATCAACTATGACTTCTTGTTCTGATGAAATATTGACAGGCAAATCTTTACAATTGAAAATCTTATAGGAGCTTGGCCAATGATAGTGTCTGATTTTTTTTTATAACAAAAGCTAAACGAAGGTGAACTGAACGGCATTTTGCTACATTTTTTTAAGGATAAAGTGCTTACCGGCCATCATCTAATCCAACACAAATGTTGGTACCGGCCCCTGCTGCAGCCTTGTGAATGCCCACATCTTCCTCCTCTGTTGGTGAAGGCGCCTGCACATACTCCAAGCATCGAATTGCAGAACTGATCTGTAGGCTCTTCACAGCGCGGGGGGTAGGCCTGTTGAGGGAAAAAATCTCTATGTGGCCCTGAAAACCTTCGCCTGCACCAGCCACCTGTATGGAACAAAATAAAATCTCATTGAAAAAGGACAAAGACTTAAGAAAGAAAGACTTAAGCAAGGAATACTGTTTTTAAATTTTAACCTTTCTTCTCTGTGATCTCCTGAAAACTTCAGCTGATCGGATGGATTTTATAAATTACAGAAAATGTTTTCGCATTTTCTCTATTATATAGAGTGACTCCATTTAATAACAAGATTACATTAAATTAATCTGAAGATTTAACATGTTGGTTATAGGAAAATTACTATTATTATGACTGAGGTAATTGCTCATACTTTTGTAATTCAGTCTTCCTCCCCTGCAATCTGTTGTCATGGTTACACTAAAATCAATTTCTCATTCGGTGAGAAGCCTTGTGAGGAGTCTTGAAGCCATTCCTGCCAAGAAGCTGTTGTGTGGCATAAAGCAAGCACAAAGCTGACCTCTCAAAAAAGTTTTTGTCCATCAGAGTAGCTGGATCCGACCCAGTCATGATGCTTGATCGACCTTTACAGACTGGTGTTATAAATGTATTATTTTATATTGTACAACATGGTAAGCTGTCTATTTGTATAAGAATGTTTTTTATTTGTTTCCATGTCGTGGACGTATTTATGGCTTTGGTGACTTTTGAGAGCATGAGCTTTGCATTGACTGCATGGTTCCAAAGTGAGGAACCTGCAGAATATTCCAAAATCCAGTAGTGAGAAATCAATCAAGAGAAACCAACTCATTTCTGAAAAGAGAGGTGAAAAAATAGCAGCAGAGCTGCTGGATTACCATGGTGAAATAAGACTTTGGGATCTCTTAATCTCTTAATTTTCTTTCCCCATTTCTAACCATCCCTCCTAATTTAAAGCAGATCTTAAAAGAATGTGTTATAATGAATAAAATGCTCATTTCTTTATCAGATGTGACTGTTTTTCCTTTAAAAACGTTGGTAACAGTAGAAAGGTGTAATCAATGCTTCAGATACATTTAGTTTGACTGATTTATTAAAGACAATTTTGAAAGTTGATCACCAGTGACTGGTTTATTGACATTCATGCGTTTTGAAGTTAGTAATATCTTTTTCATTCAGCTATGCAAATGTTGCGATACCTGATGACACACTTATTACACAGATTATTCTGTTGAAACTGAGACAATTCAGAAAGCAGTCGTCCTCAGATCATTGTTAAACTGTTTTACATATCTTTAAATTGTGAAGGTCAGAGGAGAACTTGTCTTAGTTTGAATGTTTCTTAGAAGTCAACAATGGAGGCTTAAAAAAAAAGTGTGAATCATTGATCCTTTCAGACCTTGTCATTTTTTATCCCCCCATTCTTTGTCATAGCACATTGCATAATATCATCCCAAGAAGATCAAACAATCATCTAAACGTCTACAATCTTTTCATCACTGAAGAACAGAGAGGGTCTCATAAGTTTCTGAAGAGCTATGAGTTGCCTGACAATGAGTTTTTTTTTTTTTTTTGCTGCCTAGATCAAATATGAGATATAATGCTACAGTCAAGCAAAGATAAAATAAAAATAAAATCATTTTCAATTAACTCAACTTCTTATAAGAAATTACACAAGGTCACGCCATACACTTCCAGATTCTGTTTTCAGGACCAATGAAATTTAATATCGACATAGAGCAGCTGGGAGTCTATGGTGTTTGGTCGCAGTTTGGAAAATAATTCTCTCATACAGCATCTAAAGATGTCTTTGAGACTTCCACGAGCAAAAGGGCCGCAAAAACAATACCATACTAAGGAAGACAGCAAGATATTCACATGAAACTACACCAGTCATAACGAGTGCAAGAGGATCCAACATGTCAGAGTGAGTGGAAATCTAACAAGCCAAGATTTAATTGGGGCTTGACTTCGTATGTGCCACTGCTGTATTGGTTTTTAAGTTTCCTTTAAATTCCCAGTGCTGAAATAAAAATAGGAAAACAGAAGTCATCCAACCTCTCTCTGATAAAATTTCACTTAAGGTGGCATTGTTGTCACTGTCAAACAATTCCTGTGTTGTGCTTTGGTTCTAATGTGATTTAAATTGTTATGCCTGTAGGAGGTCAGACAAATATGACTTTCATAGAAAAAAAAAAATCCCACCTACTTGCTGTAAAGACAGCAAGGAATTATTTCCTCTGTATAAATCATAACATGTGAGTGGGACATGGGCTAAATATAGTCTTTAGCTTTTCTCTGCAACACTCATCCTTATTTGCATGCAATCATTTGTTTGATTTGTATCAGCACACAGAATCTGGACAGGAGCAATCCTTTGGGCTCTTGAAAATGAGCCAGAACAAATAATGGTCTGTTGCACAGGGTGAAAAGAAGATTGGGAGCACTCATCTTGCAGCAAAGCCCCCCTTCCCCCCTCCTCCCTCCAAAGCAGAACAGTTTCAAGTCACTGAAGAACAACAGCCAGAAGCAGCCCAGACTCAGCCAGGCATTTTAACATTCTTTTCTCATATTCTTCTAATTTAAGTTGTAAGTATCTGTTGAAAATGCTGCGTTCTGGTGACATCATCGCCATTTATACAAAATACCAAACAACTGGAGTTGTGTCCTGCACAACAGTTGTGCAATACAGTTGTGTTCTGCTTTAATCACACACCTAAATCAGTGAATGCTCTGGTAGCATTTAGTAGATTGTTGCTATGAAACCAGTGAAAAGCAGAATGAAGTGGCTGTGTCTGAATTCACTTAATATAAAGTAAAAAAATAAAGCTGAAGGCTAAGAGTTCATTTATTAAGATGCATCTACGCTTTTCTCTACAGCAAATGTATTCTTGTTGTACACAATAGGAAGCAAAAAGGCAGCATTTGAGGAGATTTTGTTCCCAAAAACGAGAACTACGAGGGTAGAAAAAGTGGGACGGGGAAGGTGAAGGCATTCAGGCAAACATTGCAGTATCAGGCTGATTAGACACAATGTCATTACTCTGATCAAAGCGTGCAGAAATCCCCATAGCCCATCTCACTTTAACATGATTAGTGTCATCCCTTATTTGACAAGGCTGCCAGGGAGGTAGAACCAACTGGGGGCGTGAACACTCAGCCACTAATTATTCATACTGGAACCGCAGGCCTTCACTATTATTATGATTATAATTATTATAATTATTCCCATTAATATTTTATTTTTGAGGAAAGTGCTTTGTTTATGTTTTGTAACATATTGTTTTAAATAGCTTCTCATAACAGCAAATGCTAAAGAGTTACGTTTAGAAGTCAAAGAGCTGACTAAATGGTTTGAATGATTTCTTTCCAGAGCTTCAAACACTGCAGATTACTCACTCTCAAGTTTTTTTCATTTAAAACAAGATCTGTCCTTTCTCTGTTACTTCATTTTAGAATTTTTATTTTTTTTTTTTTACAAAGAAGCTGATCAACTTGGGTCAAAATAAAAATATTCCAGTTTCTTTGCAACAAAATGTCTTTAAACTGAACGGAAAATTCACATCCAACTGCCCTTAAAATGCAGTTATGCTTTTATAAAGAATAAAGGTATAATTATTGATCACAAAGTATTCAATTTGAGTAAGTTTGTCAAGTTTTTGTCAAACATCAAAAACATCAAGCCAAACAAGATTTTTACTTGTTTGGTGCAAACAAGTAAAAATTTCTCTCTGTCCTCAGATAAACTTGACTTTAATATATCTCAGAAAACCAAAAGATGTGGATATTTCACTCTAAAATGCCAATATGACAAAGTTCATTCAGGTACCATCTCAAACATAAATTATGTGTCTGTATGTGGAAAATATAAAAATTCTATTGGAGAGGAAAAATGCTTTGCAAAGGATTAAAGAATCAAAATTTAAGTTTTCTAAAAACCTTCACTGAAATGACGCAGTGTCAAATATTTGAACAGTGCTCTGCTTATTTTGAAGTATATTATTACTAGATTTGTGATTAAATCTTGTTGCAGGACATGTCAAGATAGTGAACTGCGAAATGTGTCTCCCAAAAGTCATTTTGGTTAATGCCAGTAATTGATTATGTTTAGTGAGTTTGATTATGAGCTTCAGATATAAAAAGGTGAGTGCTTTAAGCTTGAGACCCACTTGTACATGTTTTACACTTTGAAACAAGACTTAGCATTCTTATGGAGAAACCACATGCATTTGGTTGATTTAAAGTTTAATGGACAGAGACAGAAAAGAAAGACGGAAAGACAAGTACAGGGAGGAAATATGGAAAGAGAGGATACCAGACAAAACCATAGAAATCTGCTTCTACACCCACAGAAAGAGAGGGACAAACAGAATAAAAAATGTTGTGACAACACATGCAACAATAACTCAAAAAAGTGAACACCTTCTATAGTATGCAGAATTATGTTAGTTTAAAGACTGGACATCAACAACATCAACATTAGCTATGCAGACAGATGTCTTTCTGAGTAATGAAACAGCTTTATTTCCAGACATAATCAATCTGTCATGCAGGTGGATCATTCTGGGTTGTTATGACCACACCTGAATCTAAATGTAAGTAAGAAAACGGAAAATGATGAGCTCTCATGATGTGCTCAAGGTCTGAGTGACCTGTTTAAACTATAATGGAAAGTAAAATAGAATTTGTTGCAAACTAATGTTACTCATATCATAGAAGCAACAAAGCATTTTATCATGAACCTTGTGTGATACCAAATGAATGTTTCTAAAAGAGCTTTTACGGCGCTAAAAACAAGCACAAAAATGTTTTAAGGTGCATTTGAGCACATTTTTGTGCATATGCATATAAATGGCAAGTGGGCATATGCAGATAAGCAGGTTCTGATGAAGCAAAGATCTGATGGTGGGCACCGCTGCAGAAGAAAGCATGGTTTCATCTCATTACTTGATTATTCGATTAGTTGTTTACCAAAATATTAAACTGCTGCATATCTACTTTACGTCAGACTCGTGTTACAAAATGCACTTAAAAAAGTAGTGTGCAAAGAGCTGCAAAGTCAAAAGGGAAACACAGCTTTGTTATACATTTATGTGGTGGTAAAAAGCAGAGAACTAAAATGCTGAAAATAAAACAATTTCAGGCAGCAATCAGGAATGGGGCCAAGAATGCTAATGATGTCATTTCCTCATCTGAGTGAATGTCGAATCTCCTTTAGAATGGCACCTCAAATGCAATTAAGTCTGAGACGCAGGGCCTCACTCTCACTCGTGGAGGGCCAACACTTGATTGAACCACCTTTTAGGTCAAAAGAGGTGTACCTGATAAATTAACCAGCCTTTCCATTGTGGCCAGGGACAAAAATGGAAACTTTTGAAGAAGAAAAAAAAAAAAAAGATTTCCTGCTTTGTTTTTTCCACTCTGGAATCTTTCCTCATCCCGGATTGTGTTAAATTCCCGAGAGGTCAGGGGTAGTGAAGTGGTAGTGTGTGAGAATGATTTGTCCCACTCATCATAAAATTGTGTGTTGCAGTTGTTAACTACTCACAGCAATATCAAAATTATTTACAATAGTTTCCAGGGGACAATTTTCAAATATCGGCATAGTTAAACACAGACGTATTCTCATTTACAGCAAAACATTTAAACAGTAACTGCCGTGAATGGTATGCCCAAGAGTCTGCATTTCTTCATGTGTCACTATCATAACTTACCCAGAGGTAGCCTTGAGGTAAAGAGGTACTCGCTGCAGAAAAGCCCAACAACGCACAGTTAACAGGGTTGTGAAGAGCAGTTTCAAGCTAAAAAAAAAAAAAAAAAAAAAAAAAAACATCCTTATTATGCATGTCTTCAGACAGTAATTCCATTGTCTTTTCAATATATTGTTGTAATTCTAGTTACCATAGTGTAAACTGGTTTGAGAAATTCTGCAACAAAACTAAGTATGGAAATCTGTAACTTTTAACTGTATATGTCTTTTTTTTTTCATTTTTTCAGAGCAGCCTATTAAATAAAAGAAGGACTGAGACACAGAAAAATCACACACTATTTTATGGAGTGCGATTGAATAGCAAAGAGCACAGTATTTCTTGTCAAGTTCATTTTTTGAAGCAAAAGAGATTCATTTTCAGTTCAGAAAAAATAAATAAAAAACACCTCCCCTCACCAGTGATGGTAGGCTACAAGCCTACCCAGTAATGGTATGCTTGTTTTATAATTTCAAAATAGAATTCCAATGACTAATGTTAAAGACTTTTTTTTTTTTTTTAAATCATCAAGTAAAACAAATTATGTAGACATATTTTTAGATTGGATGGTACAGGTCCTTTTAACAGCATAAACAAACAAAATAAATAAAAGCCAAGGCTGAGGAGTTTAGTTCAAGTCAGTGACTTTTGAAATCTTCAGTAGCTTTTTATTTCAGAAGAAAATTCATGCTTTTTGAATGAGAGTTAAAAGACAAAACGATTTAGAAGCATAATATGTTTTTCAATGGCTGTGCGTTTCGGAGGCCATGTAAATTATGCTATAATAATTCTTCTCATACTAAGAGGACTAAAGCACCCGTTTGCGCTTCGTCAAAATCAATGATCTGTCAAATAGGTAAAATAAATATACATTGCTTATTTATATTGCACACATGTTTGCCTGAAATGGAGTGACTGAGGTTGACATTTACAAAATGAAGTGCATGTGTGATAGTACACCAACAACCTCTAACCAGGCGCTCTCTATTTGGGAATGATGATTACTTTGGAATATGACCGCTAAAGGTAGGCCATGTAGCCGACAGAACAAATAATTGTGTGTTGTTGGGATAATGGAGGCCAGAAGTGGGTGAGTCGCTGAATTCGAGAAGAGGAAGAGAGTAAGTGAGTGAGTGAGTGTGGAGAGCGTCGGCGACGAGAGCTCCATGTCTTTAACTGTCGTCCTCTATGGCAGCATGCATCAATCACAGGTAATTTATAGCCACCCGTGGCAAAGACCCTCCCTCTTTTCTCTCCATTTGGGGTTGTTTGTAAACACTAAACAATAAAGGACACTGGCCAGATCACTGCTCTCCTTACATGCTCTGCAAAGCATTCCTCCTCTTTTTCTGTCTGTGCCCATCCATTCAAATTCATTCCAGAGATGCACAGCTCATCTTCTATCAATCTATCAGTCCTGTGTTCCCAATTCTCTTTCCCATCAGTCACACTTTTTTTATGCCTGCCCCTCTTTCTTTTATCTTTGTCTTGTGTCTCCTGCCACCTCTTTTCCTCTTCAAAAGCTGTGAAATGTTTTTTGATAGGTAATTAAGCAATAGCCATAAATGGTGTCCATATGGAAAAGCCCTGTGGTTAAAAGAAAGAGAGCTCTGTAATGGACCAGAGGGACCGAAACTCTATAGTGCTGGCGGGTCACTACTGGATGGATTTTATCAGTCACCTGAGACTGGCAAGCATTGTAGGCCAGTCTTCATAGACCTTGATAGCATTGTGTCTGAGTACATTGCAGCATTAGACTAGAAATGTATCCATGGTAAATCTGCCCTCCACTGCTTTGTATGGTATTCAAAAGCAGTAATGTAGGATTTCGAGTGAAAAGAGCCAATCTCAGTTTATTTATATTAGAATAGTAATTAGCAGCTTGCAAACGACCCCATATTTAAGTGTGCATTAAAAGAGGCAAACCATTTTCCATAATGGATACTTAAAAGTAAAGGCACATAATTATTGAAAATATCAATGAGCTATTCAGTCTGTGTAAATGACAAATCTTAAATATTACATGAAAACCTTTTGATTGAAAAAAATGGCCACAATGAATGAAGCATACTATGACGCCATTGCATTAAAACAGTAGCAATGACTACAATCAATACAGTGAACTACTGGTCCACTTACTGGACCTCTTGAAACAGCCAGTGGAGAGAGCAGAGTGAGCATAACAACAAAGCCTGTAAAATTGTTTCCACCTATGAATGTGCTAATTATATCGACACCGGCACACAGGAAATGTGGCCCTAAAGCAACGTCCATATTACAGGCACTACCAAAGCTAATATGGTATCAGTGAGGCCCCATTTAAAAATCAATGACATCCAAGTTTTTTCAAAGTCTTCGGTGGGTCTCGTTTTTGCAGCTTGTGTGTCCGTCTGGAAGGCTGTGGGAGTGGAACAGAGAGCGTAAAGACATCCTCTTGTGTGGGTGCATAATGAGAAGGAAAGGTGAGCTTGTAAGCCAGCTGAGGAGATTTGATGGAGGATTTCAGGGAACACGAGGAAGGAAAGGGAGGAAATCGGCAGGCGAGCCAATTAAAGGATGATTTGTTAATGTGATGGGAGGGCGAATTTCCAGCTGCTGGTCACCAATGGCTCCAACAGTCAAAAGAGCATTACTCCCACCTATCATCTCAAGAGGTTCTATTCCATCTACTGGTTTAAGCATATCAGCGCAGAAACGTTTACCGTTTGTCTACATGATACATTTCATGTGTAAAGCTAAATCTCCTTCCTGTAGGATGGGAACATTTATTGTCAACATTCCTTATATATTATGAAAACTTTTTGCCAAGAGATACTGTGGTACACACCTTGGCACATTGTCAGCAGCAGCAAGTAGCAATAGTTATTGGTCGTGGTCTAATATGACAGGAAAGAGTTTTAATGATTCATGCTTTTGGCTGTCAGACTGTCAGAGCAGTGCTCCCTTGGTAAATATGGCTTCCCCAAATCCAATTAAGGTTGTTTCAATTCCCAAGGCTACTAAGTTGCACTGTTTTTCCTTAAAGCAATTTCCCCCTGTAAGCACTGTGAAATCTTTTTCTTCTCAATGTGTGGAAGACATAGAGATTTGTGACAACTGCTTTCCAAAATACAACAGTGCATTATATTAACTGGAGACTTTTAATGTTATTAATGATGATATGTACGACAACAACAATTGCATTGTTGGTCTCCACAATTCCCATGTAATATATATGCTTTATTGGAAATAGTGCTCTACAGTCACTTTATAAAATACTGCCTTATGTGAAAGTCCTGACCAAACACTTTTAGGCAATTGCAAAAAAAAAAAAAAAAAGTGTGTGAGCAAATGCTTTTCACTGCACAGTATAGCCTGATGAAAATCTAATAAAAAAAATAATATCTCAATAAACAGCCAGTGAACTGGGTGTCGTATACAGGACCCAGGGAAAGAAATTAACCCAGTACTTTTTTTCTAATTCCAAAGTCACAGTACCTTCTCCCAATTCCATACCAACAATCTTTTACACGCACTAACAAGCACTAATAGAAAACTTCCACTGTTTATTAACTGGTAATTGACTGGTGCAGGAACTCCCTCTTGACTGTGACTCCACCGCCTCAGGCTAGAGGCAGGACAGCCACAAAGTGAACCGCCAGTCAACCTGAAATTGCTTATATCCAGACCACTGTTACAGGTAATGGAAACAAAAGAAGCTGGAACAGAAGATATTTTGCAAAGTTGGTCTGCAGGTAATTAAGATAGAAAATTATGATGGACAATGATGTAGGTTCATTGTTAAAACTGAATGGGTGGTTTTAAAGCTCTAGCAATTACAGGATAAGGGCATATAAAAAAAACAACATAAAAACAAAAACTGGATTAACTGGATTTATTTTTTGAGCATTATACTACTTACTACTGATGTAATGAGACCTAATTATGCAATATATTTAGCTAAACATGTTCAGAAGGACAAATCACACACACAGAAAATAAATCTGAATGATTGTAACTGGGGCTGCACAGTGGTGCAGTTGGTAGAGCTGTTGCCGTGCAATGAATTGAACCCATGTCCTGGGTTCAATTCCCAGCCCTGGTCTTTCTGCATGGAGTTTGCATGTTCTCCCTGTGCATGCATGGGTCTTCTCCGGGTACTCCGGTTTCCTCCCACAGTCCAAAAACATGACTGTCAAGTCAATTGGCCTCTCCAAATTGCCCCTAGGTGTGAGTGTGTGTGTGTGTGTGTGTGTGCATGGTTGTTTGTCGTGGAATGTTAGCTGGAGATAGGCACCAGCACCCCTCCCAACCCCACTAAGGGACCAGGGTGTAAAGAAAATGGATGGATGATTATAACTGTATTTTTTCTTAAAGATGTGCTAAATTCACTTTCTTGGTGATATCTATTATTGACCTTGCATAGGTGTTCAACTGATGACATGAGGGTAAAACTCAGTTACTAGGATTAATATTATTACTTTGCTAGACAAAGCTTTCTGTGGCTTCATATGCTTTAGAGATTGAGACAGATTCTACATGAAAATACTGATTCCCATCATAGTAAAGTATTATCATAAGATGATCACTCAGAGCAAACTGATATGGATTTGCAGATCCTTCACTGTACAGGGTTTCTGATTGGTATTTTCTGACTACTGTGATACAAAAACACAACACTCACAACTGTAATAGAAATTCTGCAGGGGTCAAGATTTCAGGTTTTTCTTTAATTTGTCACTTGTCTGTTTTTTTTCCCCCATAAGCAGATGGCTATTTAAAAGAGTGGACCATCTGGGAAGCTTTTGTTAAAAACAGTTTGGAAAAGGGCATGCACTTTCAAACATATTTGGCAGGTAAGTGGATGAGCCATCTGTCTGTCACCATATATTCCAAGCTAGATCCAACCAGTCAGATCAACAGAATGGAGCCTGTTGGTACGATCAAACTCCCGCTGAAGTCAGTAGGGAAAAACTGTGAAAACATCTGTTATGTTGAGGAAAGCCATCAGTGTAGTCCTTTTTCAGTTTTCTGTGGGTTAGCTCTGAGATAGTTGACAAAATAAGCATGTATAG